CAGACTTCTTAAGTCTTCAAAATATCTTGCTATAGTAAAGAACAGTTGATATGAAGCCTCTCATAGTCCTGAGTTCAGCACAACAAAAGTTTTATTGGCAAAACAGCTCTACTTTGCACATCAGCCATTGGAACTCTGCATAACTTTGACGTAAAACATGGCGGACAAAAATCCGTTCAATATTATTTCTTTGTATATACGGTATCACAAACTAATTCTCGCCTAAAGGGGTCTATAAGTATATATATATATAAGTATATTCATGAACATGATGAATCTATCAATAAAGCTACCTCATTCTTAAGCCATTGGTTGTTGGAGGCCAGTTCCTCTAAGTTAGTGCTAGTTGCAGTTAGTGAGCGAAGAGGAGGTAGCTCTACAGTAAAGTCTTTATATTCTTCGGAGGAACGGAGCTCTTTCAGGTAAGAGCAGAGAATAGCTTTCCCGTCCTTCTCTCTGATAGCTTTAGCCATGACGATGCCGAATGAAGACAAAGAAGAATAAAGAAAAGGAGAGTGGCTTTGTATCTGAAGTTGAGGGCAATTTTATAGCTTCACTACTTGTGAGTTGTGAGAAAAGGTCACACTATCACATCCTCACCATCATGATCATCTCATGTCCACGTGGTTAACTGCAGTTGATCCATGATCTGATCACATGATCTTATGATCACAATCACATGATTCTTTCACCAGATCAGCTCATTTTAAGTCAAGGGTTACTTTGAAGGAGTGGTTAGTTTTATCCACGTGCTTTGTCATGGCTGAATTAAGGCAAGCCCTAAGCTTTCTCCGACAGAAAAAGGCCACAGACACTGCAGGAACTTTACCATCTCCTCCTGCTCCTATTGAGAAAGACAAAAGTCCTGCCACCAGTCTCCAGGTCAGCTTAAATTTGATTTTTATTTGATTATCTTATTGTATTTTACATTTAGACTCATGATGTTACTGATGACCTTGAAGATTATGATGTATGTTATTGCCTTTATTTGTTCCTCAGTTATTATTTTACTTAGGAAATTTTTAAAAATTGTGACATGTTTGATTTCTCTCCAATTAACATCAATGACAGGGTAGACGACACTCCACCCATTCTTTCTCCTCCAACTCATTCAAAGTCTCGGGCAGTCAGTCAAACTGATTGGTCACTCTCCTCTCAACCTTTATCTAAACGACCACTCCTTGAAACCACCTCACAGACTACAAAAACTAACTCAATCACTAGACCTCTGACCGCACCTTCTCCTTCAAGAATCATTTCGACTCCTACCACAGCATCTTTACCTAAACGTATGACTACTCCTAGTATCTCTCGTCTGAACACACCCACTGTATCTCGAACTGGTGTACAGGCAACTCCTACACGAGTTGTTAGAAAGTTTCCAGGACCAGCTGGTTGCCTTCCTCCATTGGTAAGTTGCTATTATTCATCATATCCCATTACTGTTATTATACATCATAGGACACTGTCAAAAGACTAGATGACACATCAACTGTCTCTGTTGTATCATCTGGAGGCACTCCAGCCTCTACTCCTCTTCGTAAAGTATGTTTTCAAACATAATTTTTAATTAATTGATGTATTTTTGTGTATAGAGTCATGTCAGTGTTATTTATGATTATTCTGACCATCAGTTTGATGACTTTAATCAATCTAGTGGGCCATGGGCTAGAATGAGATCTGAATTGGATGTGGATGGTAGTCATTAAGGCAAATGCACTAATTGATTTAATGTCTTTTATCATTCTTAGATCCTCTTACTTCTGCTATTCTCAATGCTAACATTGCTAGCATTATTAGACAAGTAAGCATTGCAGCTCAACGCATGATTGTTCATGAACATTTCTAGGCTTCCAAGAAAGAGCTACCAAATGGTAAAGTACCACACTTGTGTGTTCTAGTGAAAAGCATTGTTACATCAACAAAAAGTGCCACAGCCCTGTTGCAGGATCCCAGTGGTACATTCAATTAGCTGTGTTTCATTATTACTAATGTTTGTAGGGGAAATGCATGCTGCTATTCACATCTTAGTCATGGAAGAGTATAAGGATGAGTTTGTTGAAGGATCTGTGGCTATATTGAGACAGGTCTATTGTAATGCTATTAGCTATTGTGATACACTGTATGTCACACTATAGGTATCAGTGTTCAGCCCATCATCTCGTAAGCATTATCTTAATGTCACTCTGGATAACATTGTAAGAATATATCCTCCTCAGCAAAGTACCAATGCTTCCTCAACAAGTACAAGGAATCTTATTGTAAGTGCATTATTATTATTAGTTTATTTGTTTGTGTGACTAGCAGGTTTTCCCACAAAGCATGCTAAGCGAGCTAAAAAGCATTATACACAGTACATGGCATTTGGATTAACTTTTAAAATTTGTAAAAAATCTAATTTTGATCGGAATTGGCTCAAACTTTGTACATAACATAAGAACATGTATATGCATCAGAAAAAAATACGAAAACAAAGAATTCTTTCCTAGTCATTTTTGCCAAAATTTGGCCACTGAGCTTGTACTATAGTACAGGGACTTTGGCACGATTTTTGAGCAACTTCAAAAATTCATAAAAAATTAATTTGTAATTGGAATCAGCTCAAACTTTGTACATAACATAAGAACATGTATGTGCATCAGAAAAAAATACGAAAACAAAGAATTCTTTCCTAGTCATTTTTGCCAAAATTTGGCCACTGAGCTTGTACTATAGTGCAGGGACTTTGGCACAATTTTTGAGCAACTTCAAAAATTTATAAAAAATTAATTTGTAACTGGAATCAACTCAAACTTTGTGCATAACATAAGAACATGTATATGCATC